TTTTGGGGAGAGGGAGGCCACCCACGACTGGGGGGATGGGGTGGAGATAAGGCTAGGCTTCCTGTAAGGTGGAGCGCTTGATCTGGACTTTGAAGGAAGCCTAGGATTGAGGAAGGAGGGGTTTCATCCAGTGGGTCACCCTACTTCAAGTGTCGTCCCCTCCCCCCGGCCCCCCCTCCAGCCTGTTCCTCACTCCAGGCCCTGCATTCAATCCACTGCCCCACCTAGCCTGATAAATGCCTGGCTCTTATCTTGACCACTGAATCAGCTGTCAAACCCATCTTCCTAAAGTGCACATTTGACCGTGCCAGTGTAAACACTCAATAAACTGCAGTGATTCTCTGTCTCCTCCAGAATCAAATATAAAATCCTCTGGCCTCTTTGCTCTTCCTCGAACCAGACACTTATCTCCTGACTCTGGGGACTTTCTCCGGCTGTACCCCACCCCATGCCAGACCTTGCTCTCCGCCCTCATCTCCACCTCCTGTCTTTCCTCAAGTCCCAGCTAAAATCCCATTTCCCACAGGAAGCCTTTTCAGATCCCCCTTAATGCCTCGTGATTTTTAACTCTGTTGATCATTTCCAGTTAATCCTATATGCTGTATAGCTCATTTGTCCATAGTGGTTTGCACGTTGTCTCCCCAATTAGACGGTGCTCCTTGAGAGCTGGACTGCCTTTTGCCTTTCACTGATCCCCAGTGCTTAGCACAGTGCCTGACACATAGTAGGCGATTCATAAATGTTCATTGACTCAATAAGTGGGGGACCATCTGTGCAAAGGCATGGATTTGGGAGACAGGGAACTGCTAGCTGGTCAATTTGGCTAGAGCATAGAGCATGTGAAGAGGAGTAATGTGAAGTCAGTCTGGGGAGATGGGCTGGAGCCAGGTTGTGAAGAGCTTTAAAAGCCAAATAGGAATAATGAGAAAATGAACGTCGTGACCTATATTATGCAGCAGTAGCGCAGGTATTAACACCCCCACTTTACTGATGAGGAAATGAAGACTTAGGGAGTTTCTGCAGTTTCTGCAGCCAGCCGGCCAGCCCCCTGCAGCTCTCTCAGCTGCTACGTGTTAGAGGGATGTGTCAGACAGCTTATAATTGTCAGGCATAGGATTTGAATCCTGGTCCAAGGCTAGCATCCACCCTGCTTCTTCAGTAGTGTTAGGTAGAATACTCACAATCGTCATTTCTAATTAAAATGCTGCCCAGTTACAACGGGATGTACACACATCATTGCATGTGTTTAGGGCCTGCCCTAGGCAGAGGGAAGACTCAAGCTGGGCAGAGGCCAGCGTGAACATAAGCCCCTTGGCCTGAGGAAGGGAGGGGCTGAGCTGCAGCACCCTGGAGACCCCAGCAATGGTTTTTAGAGTAGAAGAATGCCTTTAGGAAATTCTGGGGAAGCTCATGATTTCTTTCTACAACCAAAGGGAGAATTTTTTTCTTTTAGTAGCAATGTAAAATAGAGCTTGTAAGGGACTTTGGAGGCCATTGAGTCCACCCCCCTCATTTTACAGATGAGGAAACTGAGGCACAGAGATGTTAAGTAACTTGCTAAGGATCACACAGCTAGTGAGTGTCTGAGCCAGGATTTGAACTGAATTCTTCCTGAATCTAAGTTCAATGTCCTGTTCACTATACCATACTGTCTCTCTCAAAAAAAATTCTTCTCAGAGACTCCCAATGTCCCAAACTCCCCAAGCCTATGCTCTGTGGTCTTACAGGGTACATATATCCAGGTTAACATTTTTGTCAGGTGAAGCTTTTATTAAATTACATTATTAGGACATTTCATGGCATGCTTTAAAAAATGTTCACACATAGGCACCAGGAAGTGCTATATAAAATATTTGATTTTATCAAGCAGCTTTTAAAATTAATTGGGGAGGAGAGAGATATAATAAGAGGGAGAGAATTTAGAACTCAAAATTTTTAAAAAAGTAACTGTTAAAAAAAATTTTTTAAACCGAAAATATATCAGAGTATGTGGTGTAATGAAAAGATGAGTGGATGTGGAACTGGAGACCTGCCTGTGCTTGAACTTAATGTGCGATCTCTGGGAAGTCAGTTCTCTCTGGCCTTGGCTTCCTCATTTATAAAATTATGGGGTTGGGTGAGGTGACATCCAAGGTTCCATCTAGTTCTAACTATCTGTGTTCCAAGGTCCCTTCCAGCCCTCACATTCTATATTCTAAGGGTTCTTCTTGCTCTTCTATTCCACATTCTAAAGGCCTTTCCAGCTCTGTCATTGTATCCTAATGTCCCTTCTGACTCTTAATATTCTGTGTTCTAAGGCCCCTTCCCAGCTTCAAATCCAGTGGTCTATGTAATAAGCTAATAAATGTGTAGTATATTGAATTAAATTGTCAGTGACTTCCTTGAGCTTGGAAAATCGACCAATAGATACTTAGTGAAACTCTGTTAACTTGTCCGAAGCAGAACTCAGATCAGCCCTTCTTCCAACCTTCAGCATGTCCGTTGAGGGAACCAGTTGCCTTGCCTGATAAATAGCCCCAGAGACATCTTTGACTTGTTTTTCCTTCACTCTCTTATAACCAGTTGGTTGCCAAGTTATTTTTAGTTCTAACTTCAGGCATCTTTCATCTGTAGCCCCTTCTCTCAGCTCATGACCGCCATTCCAGTTTGAGCCCTCATCACCTCCCTACTGGACTGTTGTAACAATCTCCCAGCTGTTTTCCTTGCCTTCACTCCATTTTCTCTGTCCTCCTCTCAGGAGCAGAAATAAGGGTACTTAAACTAAGGTTTGACCTTTCGTTCCTCTACTCACAACCCTTTGGTGGCTCTGGGAGGAAACCAGGCCTCCTCCGCCTGGCATTTAAGCCCCTTCACTATCTGCCTGTATCCTTTAAAACATTCTTTTTTCCAGCCAAACTTGAATACAGCTGGCTCCCTTTATAAATTTAACCTTCAACCTCTCTGATTTTGTACAAGCCCAGAATGAGCTCCATCCATCCATCCCTATTTCCCTCGATCAGAATTCTTGTCTTCCTCAAGTCTCTGGGTGGGTACCACTGCTTCCCCAAAGCCTTCTCCAAAGCTCCCCATTTGTCAGCTTTCCTGATCCTATACTTATTGGGGCAAAGGCTACATTCTGCCAATAGATTATCAAGCACTTAAGAGTTTTATTCTTGTCTTGGTACTCAGCACCTGCAGCAGGGTAGTAGGTGCTTGGATAGTCAGTCAGCAAACATTCATTAAGTACCTGCTATGTGCCTGGCACAGTGCTAAGCTTGGGGTACAAAGAAAAGTAAAGATGAAGGTCTGCAGCTGGAAGGGCCCTCAGAAGCTTTCTAGTCCAATCCCGTCATTTTACACATTGAGGAAATTGAGACCCAGAGAGATTGACTTGTTCTAGGGTCATGTGGGTGATAAATGTCAGAGCTGGGATTTGAACCCAGGTCCTGGAAACACTTTACTCTGTTGGTTAACAAATGCTTGTTGTATTGAATTGAATTGAATTGTTCACCTGTGCCTGCCTTGGGAGGTGTGGGAGGTCAGGTTTAGTTGCTGAATAAGACCTGCCTGGTCCCTGCCTTCCAGAAGCTCATCTTTTTGGGTGGAAGATAAGACAAGGAGGGAACGTATGAAACAAAGACCAGGGAGATGGGAATAATGATTGCGCCTGCTTCTCCGTCTAGTTTGACGATAAAATGGCATGAGTTGTAAAGTGCTTTGCAAAAGTGCTCCTTATACATGTAATTACTGTGGTTGCTGTTATCGTTAAGCACTGAGAGAAGGCTGAGATCCATGAGGTCTGGAGTGGTCAGAGCCATTAAAATGGGCCTTTTATGGATCATGGTGGCTTGGGTTGAGCCTTGAAGGATGGGATAGGCCAGCTTGGATAAGTGAGAGGAAAGGGCTCTCTCCCTATTCCTGGTGCAGTAAAGGCAGAGGCAGATCTATGCAGGAGAGGGCACAAGCCCACTTTTCCCAAAGCATAGACTGTAAAATAATAATACCTGCAGCGTGCACCTCTAATGAGATTATGTAGGTAACGTGCTTTATAAATATCAGCTATGGGAGTGGGCAGGCTGTGAGATAAGGTGGGGCAGGTGTGTTGGGGCCAGACTCTGGAAGGCCTGGAATGCGAGGATAAGGTGCTGTAGGCAGAGAGAAAGGCCCTGGAGGTTCAGAGTGGCCGGTCCCATGACCAGAGCTGAGCTGTAGGAAGACTGGGGGGCAGGAATGATTGAAGGAGAAGGGTCTTGAGTTTGGGATGCCAGTTACAAAGCTGTTATAATAGACCAGGGGAAGGGGCAGTGATGGCTTGGAGGAGGATGGGCTGGCAGGAATGAAAGGAGCAGGAGCAGATGTGAGGAACTGTGGGAAGGAGAGAAGAAAATTTATTTTGTCTTTGAAGACAAAGACAAGCCACTGTGGGGTAGAGTTGGGGGAGGGAGGTTGATCAATCAGTCATTTATTAAGCACCTAACGATGTGCCAGGGATAAAAAGCAACAACGCCCAGCTTCTGCCTTTAAGGTGCTTACCTTGGGATTTGATGGGGAGAGGAAGGGAAGTAACCTGTTCACATATAAGTAATTAGATAGATATGCATTTATTAAGTGTTTGCTTTGTGCCAGGCACTGTGCTAAGCACTAGAGATACAAATACAAACAAATAAGACAGTCCCTGCCCTCAAACAGCTTACATTCTAATGGGGGGGCAGTATATAAAGGGAAGCTGGAAGTGGGGGTTAGATCGGAGTAGGGGTACTAGAGGGACAGCAGCATGCATTAGATGTGGTCTGTAGATGGCTGAGGAAATGTTGTAGAGCCCTGGATCGGAGCAAAGTAAGGCCAAAGTTGGCCTCACTGGGTTCGGGACGGTTCCAGATGTGGGGGTCCAGTTTTCCAGTTGGGAGGGAGTGGAAATACATGGCATGGCGGTGCTGTCCCAGTGGCCAGTCAGCAAGCCCCTCTCCCAGTGGGTCTGGCCGTCACTGCCTGACACCCGGTGGGTCTTCTCTGCCTGGCAGGTGACTCTGCAGAGGTGTATCAGCGGGAGTTCTTGGCCCTCCGTGACCGCCTACACGCTGCAGAACAAGAGAGCCTGAAGCGCTCCAAGGAGCTGAACCTGGTGCTGGATGAGATCAAGAGGGCCGTGTCAGAGAAACAGGCCTTGCGAGACGCGGACGGCAACCGGACCTGGGGTCACCTGTCTGGTGAGTGGTTGGGGAGCAGGGGTTTGGCTCCTGGGAAGAGGCTGAGGAACCCAGATGGGACGGAGGACCCTGTGTCTGAGCCGCCTTCCTTCCCTTGCTCCATCCCAGAGGACACCAGGCTGAAGCTGTGGAATGTCACCCACAAGCATGTGATGCACCTGCCCACCGTCTTCCACCATCTGCCTCACCTGCTGTCCAAGGAGAGCGGCCTCCAGCCAGCCCTGCACGTGGGCCAGGGCCGCACCGGAGGTAGCTGGGCAGGGAGGGGCAAACAGAGGGAGACTGGGTGGAGAAGGAGAGAAGGACCTCTAGGGGTGCTGGTCCAGGGACTGGGCAGGGCCAGGGTGGGAAAGGGAGAACACTCAGGGGCCGGGGGCTAGGGAAGCCCCTAAGCCCTGGTCCCTGGGCCACTGCAGTGTCCATTGTGATGGGCATCCCGAGTGTTCGGCGGGAAGTGCACTCGTACCTGACGGACACACTGCACTCGCTCATCTCGGAGCTTAGTGCCCAGGAGAAGGAGGACACAGTCATTGTGGTGCTGATTGCTGAGGTGAGGGGAAACACGGTAGGACCAAGCCCTCGGGAGAGGGCAGGTTTCTGAGAGCGTATGTGTGTGTCTGTGATCCTGCGTGAGTGTGTGTGCATTTACCGAGGGTGCACAGGCATGTCGGTATAACCCTGAGGCCTCCAGATCTGTAGTAATAGGCAGAGTCTGAGAGGGTTCATGGCTTGGCCCTGGCTCCTTTCCAATTCTCCCAGCCCCAGCCTAGGAGCTTCTACATTGGGAGCCTAACCTTCAGCCTCCCTTTCTGCTCCAGGACAAGTAAACAGGCCTTTTCTTCTTGCAGGCCCTAGGCCTCAGCTCTAATAATTTTTTTTAGAACAGGGTTAGTAGACACAATTGATCAATAATTTAATTGATTAATTAATTAATTGATTGATTTAATAAGGGCCTAAGGGGATGTTCAGTGACTTGCCAGGGTGACATGGCTAGTTGGTGTCAGAGGCAGCATTTGAACTCACATCTTCCCTTCTCCCAGCCCAGCATTCCATCTGGGGTACGGAGTGTTTAGGGACAACCAGTACTCCTGGTGTGAGGGCTTAATGAGCCCTTTTCAGGGCTGCTCATCCACCTTTGGTATCTACCTTTCACCCAACTCTCACCTGTGGCTCCAAGAAGCCATCAAATGCACAGTGGCCACACCCTGGTAAAACGAGCTCAGCAGACAGGCTGAACCAGGTTGAGGGCAGCTGACAGGCTTCAGACCCGTTGGAGAGTTAAGGGGGTGTCTACGCCAACGTGTGAAGACTCGCCCCCGTGGAGTGGGAAGATGGGAACAGTTTGTTCGAATGGCCACGAAGGCGGTTGGAGCGGGTGCCGTGGGGTGCTGAGAGCTTGGTCAGGCACGGAGGAGGCCACGGCCATCCGCTGCATCCAGGGCCACTGCCAGCTGCTTTGACTTCTGTCCTGCCGCCGGACTTCAGAGACTCTGAAAGAGAGAGTGAGGCTGACTATTTTGTGTACCTTTGCCTCACTTCAGTCTCATTCATGTGCAAGTCAAGACATCACCCAGTCACGTCACTGGTCCTCTTCGAAAACAAAGGACAAAGGGTAGCAACAAGGGCCTGCTGTGTTCCAGGGTAGGGCAGCTAGGTGGTGCAGTGGATAGAGTGCTGGGCCTGCAGTCAGGCACACTCCTCTTCCTGAGTTCGAAGCTGGCCTCAGACACTTACTAGCTGTGTGACCCTGGGTAAGTCACTTCACCCTGCTTGCCTCAGTTTTCTCATCTGTAAAATGAGCTGGAGAAGGAAATGGCAAACCACTCCAGTATCTCTGCCAAGAAAACCCCAAATGGGGTCATGAAGAGTGGGACGTGCCCGAAACAACATGTTTGTGGCACTGTGCTAAGCACTGGGGGGGTACAAAGAAAAGCCAAACAAACAAACAAGAAGACAGTCTCTAGTGAGGGAGACAGCATGCAAACAGTCAAGCTATATGCAGGATAAATTGGCCCCAATCAACAGAGGGAAGGCACTAGAATTAAGAAGGATCAGAAGGTAGGATTTTAGCTGGGATTGATAGAAGCCAGGAGGTGGAAATAAGGAGGGAGAGACTTCTGGGCAGGGGAGATGGCATGTCTTGTGCTAGGAGCAGCAAGCAGGCTGGTGTCCCTGGACCAGAGTATGTAGAGACGGGGTTGTGGGGAGGGAGAGTGAGTAAGGTATAAGAAGCCTGGAAAGGTAGGAGGAACCGGGTTGTAAAGGGTTCTGAATGCCAAACAGAGAATTTTATATTTAATCTTAGACATGACAGGAAGCCACTGTAGATTACTGAATAGGTGGGTGACCTGATCAGACCTGACCAGGCTTTAGGGAAATCACTGGATCACAGAGTGGTGTTGGGGGTGGTGGGCTTTTTGCATATGGACAGTTCTACCCTGGAGGCCAGAGCCTTAGTGCCATGTGCTACCCAGCTGTTGATGACTCCGCTCCAGCACTTCAAGTTGTCCTCCAATGGGTCTTTAAGCTAGTCACTCAGTCTCCCTGGGCCTCAGTTTCCTTCTGTGTAAAATAAGTGGGTTGGACTAGAAAAGCTTCCGAGGGCCCTTCTAGCTCTAGATTTGTGACTTTACCTTTCTTTATAGCCTCAGAATTGGAAGAAACTTAGAGGATGCCTAGTCTAACCTCCATTCTCTTGTAAGAATCTTGCCTACAGCATCATTGACAAGTTATTCTGTCTTTGCTTGAATACTTTTTATGATAGAAAGCTCACTAGCTTACGAGACAGCCCATTCCATTGTTGAATAACTCTAATTGTGAGAAGGTTCTTACGATCATTGATTGAATTGAAATTGGTTTCCCTGAAACATCCATTCATTTTTTGCTTTCTGGGGACTCACAGAACAAGTCTGATCCTCTTCTCTAATCCCTCCCTCTATTATAGAGAACATACATCATTTACCTTTGGATCACCCTTATGATACATGCTTAAAAATGTTTCCTGGGATTAATAAGTGACTGCCCTTTAGCTTTCATGTTTCCGCTTGATCTTCTCTAGGCTGAATATTCCCAGTAGCTTCAAGTGATCTTCGTGAGTCATGGTCTTAAGTTTCCTCCCCATCCTAATTTCTCTTTTCTGGAGACCCTCTCATTTTGTAATGTCCCTCTTGAAATGTGGTGCCCCAAACTGAAGCACAGTTCTCAAGATGTGGTCTGATCAGGGCACAGTACAATGACGACTAACCTCCTCCCTTCTTCGGGTTACTAGATTGCTGCTTTTAATAAAAGATAAAATTGAATTTGCTGGGGGTTTTTTGGCTGGTAAATCACACTGTCAACTCATATTGAGCTTGTAGTTGCTAAAATCCGTAGGTCCTTTAAAAAAAAATCTTTTTTTTAATTTAATTTTTTTTCAGTTAACCACTCTCTATTTGCTCTCCCTCCCACCTTGCCTTCCCATTGGAAAAAAGAAAAACAAATATATGCATAGTCAAGCAATATAAATTCCCATATTGGCTATGTATATTCCTATACTCAGAGTCCATGCCCTCTCTTCAGGAAGTGGGGAGCATGCTTTGTCTTTAGTCTTATGGCATCATGGTTGGTTACTGTGTTGATCAGGGTTCTAGCCTTTCAGAGTCATCCTCAGGTCCTGAACCGGTGCAGTTAGATTTTGTTTTTTTAGCCAAAGTGCCTGACTTTACATTTGTCTTTCTGGTTTCATTTTCTTGGTTTTAGACTGTTGTTATGACCCAAATCTTTTTGCACCCTAGTTCTGTCATCAGATGCATTAGTTGTATTTCCTGCCTTCATGTCATCTATAAATTTGAGAAGTGTGCCGTTTCTGTCTTTGTCCAAATCGTCGGTAGAGATGTTGAGCTGAACAGGGTGGGAGCTGCTATCAGAGGCCTCCGTTCAGGTTGACCCATTAATCCAAAGCCAAGACCCCAAGGAGAGAAGCAGGTCCTATCACCTTTGGGTCTGGTCTTTCAGCCAGTGGGGCATCCACGTGACTGTAATGTCCTCTAGCCTATAACATTTTCCTGTTTGGTCCAGAGGTATGGCACAAAGAGTCATTTGTCATGTAGCCTGCTGAAGTTCCGCCATATGTTGTTTATGGTACTTCCTTGATCTAGTAACTGTAACTGTCTAGTAACTGTAAAAAAAAATTAGGAAATGAGATTAATCTGGCATGATCTGTTCTTGACGGAGTTTGGGCCGGCTCCTTTGTGATGCCCCTTCCCTTTCTAAGTGCTCACAAACCATTACCGTAGTTTTCCTGTCTACCATTTTGCTGGGCGCATGACATGAAGCTCATGAGGCTGTAGCTTCTAGAGTTCACCCTCATCTTCCTTTTGAAAATGAAAACAGTAGTTACTCATCTCCAGTCTTGTTGCCCATGACTCCTCAGAGAGCTTGTCATGGGGCTCAGTGATGTCATCTTTGAGCTCTTTCGGGATCCTGGAGTGTTTTCTTTCTGAACTCTGAATCTTGAACTTACTGAGGGTAGCTAGGGCAGCCAGTCATCCGGTCAACTGGATGGGAGGGAAGGGAAAGGAATAAGCCAGACACTGTGCTAAGCACTTTTTATAGTTATTATTTCATTTGATCCGTCGCATTAACACTTTGAGGTGGGGCTATTATTATTCCCATATTACAGTTGAGGAAACTGAGGCAGGCAGATGAGTGACTTAACCGGGGTCCCATAACTAGTAAGTGTCTGAGGTATTTATGAGACACCTACTGTGTGTCAGGCATGGTGATACAAAGGTGAAAGATGAAGCAGCCCCTTTCAAGGCCCTTGTCCTCAGTTCTTGCAGGCCACAGTTCCCTCTTTATGCCTTTGTCCCACCCTTTCATGTTTGAAGAGCTTTCCTGTTGACTGAGGAGACTAGAACAAATCTTCGGCTGAGCAGTGTTTCCTCTCTGGCATCTGTCCCCAAGCTTGCAGGCCCTGGACTTCTCCCTTCCTTATCCTTCCTCTTGCTCGTGATTCTAAAAGGCCTGCGCCAACTCCCCAGGTGGACTGGTGACGTGGTACAGTGGCAGGTACTGGACTTGGAGTCAGAAAACCCAGTTTCAATCCCAGCCATGCTCTGTGTGTGCTCTGTGACCTTGGGCACTTACACTGGGCCTTAGTTTTTATAAAAATCGGGGGTTGAACCTCTAAGGTCCCTTCCAGCTCTAAATCTTTGATCCCATGACGCAGTAGTATTGACCATTCCTAGCTTCTCAGTTCTTTCCCGAACAAAATTTAAAAATTTAGTTTAAATTTCTTGCAACTGTGTTGGTAGGAAGGGGAGCGGGGTGGCAGGGTGGGGGAGGGGGTGGCAGAGGAAGGACGCCTGTACTGATGAGGCCGATAGTTCTGGGTGGCCTGCTCTTCCAGGCACTATGGGGGTCCCACAGACTCGGGGAGAAGGGTGCAGAACTCAGACTGCTTGGTTTTCATCCACAGACAGATACCCAGTACACGATGGGGGTGGCCGAGAACATCAAAGCCTTGTGAGTAGTGACTACCCCTTGGTCCACCTGGGGGTGGGGGAGGGCCACAGGGGATAGCCCTGGCTGGGACCCTCAGATTCTCTTTTCCTTCCCAGGGCTCTGAGAACTCAGTCCTTTCCAGCTGCAGCTTTGGGGCTGCATAAAGACCCCTGGGGCTGGGCTTGAGCCAAGCTTGGGGGCAGACTTCAATGTGAGGTCAAGAGCACACGCCTTGTCCTGAGGTATCAGTAGTTAGGCACCAAGACAGAGAAAGACTGGGTGACAAGAGTCTGTAAGAACAGAAGTCTGGCCAACTGAAAAATAGAAATGTTCAAAGATACCTTGAAAAAAAATATCATGAGGGCCAGAGAAGACCCAGCTACAAAATGACCTAGATGTTGATTGGTTGCCCCCCTAGTCCCGCACCCCTGTCCCTTGTCTCCCCTTCCCCTCCAGTGTAGGACTAGGCTAGGCCCAGGGAAGGAAGTGTGGTTCACCTTTAGGACTCTAAGAGAGACGACCAGAGCCATCTCAGCCTTAGCTTCCCTCCATCCTTCTCTCCTTCATTTTCATTTCTTTTTTTATCGTTATTAAGAAGTTTCATATTCAGAGTTAGTTAAATACAGTCAAATAACTTGAGAAATATTCAAACTTTCAATAATATTAGACTTTTCATGGACCAGGCTTCACACTCAAAAATTCCACGAATATTAATGTGATATTGGTAAATGAACTTCAGGGAGAAATATCACCCTTATTTATTTTTATTGATTTATTTTTTGTGAGGCAGTCAGCATTAAGTGACCTGCCCAGAGTCAAACAGCTAGTAAGTGTCCAGTGTCTGAGGCTGAATTTGAACTCAAGACCTCCTGACTCCAGGGTTGGCACGCTATCCACTGCACCACCTAGCTGCCCCATCACCCTTATTTTTAAAAATCCACCATTTTTTTCAATTTTAAAAAAATCTTTTTTTTTTTCAACATCACTTTTATAAGATTTTGAGTTCCATCATTTCTTTTTTTGGATAGATTTTTATTGATATCTTCTGTTTCTACATTGCCTAAATTTCCACCTGTATTTCTTCCCCTCCCAGAAACCATCCTATATAACATAATTTTTTAAAAGAAAAAGAGGAAGAAAAAAATCAACAAAATTAATAAATACATTTTTAAAAATCTGACAATGCATTCAGTGTTCCACACCTGTGTATGTGCACGTGCGCACACACACACACACACACACACACACACACACACACACACACACACACACACACACAAACCCTCCTTTGTTTTTCAGGGTGTGATTATAGCACAGCCTCCTTTCCTTTCCAAAGTACTTTTCACATCAGCTTTCTTGCCTGATCCTGGCAGCCTTGAAAGGTAAATAAGGCTGGGCCCGAGGTTTAAGGTGTCCGCAGGTAACTGGGTCTGCTCCTTTATGATTGCCTTTCCATGAGAAATGTGGTAGAAGTGGGAGCAACGCCCAGCCTGTCTGCAGGGCTGTCCCTTGGGGTCAGGCCTCCTCCTGCCAGGCCAAAGCCTCAGGGCATGGTGTGGTGGTGCCGAGCTAGAGGAAACTGCCTGGCTTCACCTTTCCAGGCACCCCAACCTGGGCTTCTGATTTAGTGTAGGTAAGGGGTCCTGTTGTTCCTGCTCAGCTCCTCATGACCCCCTGCCATCCTCCCATCCCACATTCACGTCCTGGTCGCCCACAAAGACCAGCCTTGTTTCTGGCTGCCTCTGCACAGGACGGGTAGATTAGGAGGAAGAATCCTTGCTCTCTTGTGTCTTAGCCAGCACCACTGGGGCACTTGCCCACCACCTCCGCCCGTTGGGTCTGGGAATCCCAGGACTTCTGGTGCTTTTCTGAGAGGGAGAGGAGGTAATGGGATGTCTGCCAGGATCTCCCTGCTGAGGCCGACACGGAACTAGAGCTTCCTCCAGGAGGCTTCGTACCCCGGTTGCTGCCTCTTCTTCCCTCTAGGACCCTCTTCTTCTCTGGGACCAGGCTGATAATTAACATCTGGGTGGGGGAGCACAGAGCAGAGATCCTTCCTGATCACTGTATCCCCATCCTGTTTTACTCAACCTGCTTCTCAGTGGAGTACAGTAGGAAATCAGAGGAACCGGGTTCAAGTCCTGCCATTGCCCCTTACTACCTGTGTGACTTTGAGCAAGTCACCTAGCCTCCTTGGGGCTCAGTTTCCTTATTGTAAAATGGAGGGGCTGGACCAGAAGGCTTCTGAGCTTCCCTTCAGTTCCTGATCTGTGATCATTCCCTGCCTCCCTCGTTCCCTTGCCAGGTTCCCCACTGAAATCCATTCTGGCCTCCTAGAAGTCATCTCTCCTTCTCCACACTTTTATCCTGACTTTTCCCGACTCCGAGAGTCCTTTGGAGACCCCAAGGAAAGAGTCAGGTAACCAGTGCAAACCACCTGGCCCCCGCCACCATTCCTCTACATGTGCCTTGGCTTTCCCTATCCATAGCATGGGGATAAGTCCATCCTGGGGATCCCAGCAGGGACCTGAGCTGACCCTGAGCCCAAATCAGACATCCCTCTCCCTCCTGGTAAACCCAAGACACAGATCCCCCATCACAGGATTACCCAGATCAGGTTTGGCCCCTGCTGGGAGTGAGGGTCCAGGCCCCTGACCAGATCCCTCTCCCCTAGGTGGAGAACCAAGCAGAACCTGGACTACTGTTTCTTGATGATGTACGCACAGGCCAAGGGCATGTACTATGTCCAGGTCAGCGCCCGGGAGAGCTGGGTGGAGGGCAGGGGAGGGGGAGTACTTTCACTTCTTTGTATCCACTTGGGGTTGAGTGTGGAAGGGAAGGGATTTCCAGGGAGATGCTGGACAGGGGCTCAGGTTCTGGGGAATGGCAGGGGTGGAAAGTGACCTTGTTTCTAGCCTGCCACTGGGGAGGCAGCATGGGAACCCCAGTATGGTCCCTGGGCAGGGTGGGGGCAGAGCCAGGGGTCAGGAAATGAGAAGCCTGACATCCCCTCACCTCCCCCACTCACACACCATACATCCTTATTCTCTCTCATCATGAAGGGGACTGGGGTGGGGGGCGGGTGGGGGTTAGGTTCTGAGCCTCCCTCCCCTCACCTCTGGCAGTTGGAAGATGATATTGTGGCCAAACCCAACTACCTAAGCACCATGAAGAATTTTGCTCTACAGCAACCCTCGGAGGAGTGGATGATTCTGGAATTCTCCCAGCTTGGTTTCATTGGTAATGAGCGCACGTGCCCCTGCCCTGTTGTACCCTACATCATCTTGCCACAATGCTGTTCTCAGCTTCTCCCATTTGTCCATGCCAAGGCTGTTGACTGGTCAGCACTGAGTGGCCCCCTTCTCCTCTTTCTCCTCCTCCTCTTTCTCTTCTTCCTTTCTTCTTTTCCTCCAGGTCTGCTCTTCCTCTTTTTCCTTTTTCCGTCTTTCCTCTTCTTCTTCCTGATTTCCATAGTGCAATGAAAAGAGGGCTAGATTTGGAGTCTAAGCTCCTGAGTTCAAATCTCAGCTCTGTCATTTATATCTGTTCCATGCTGGGCAAGTCATTAAACATCCTTAGGCCCCCACTTTCCTTTTCTGTTAAATGAAGAGGTTGGTCTAGATGGCCTCTCTAGCTCTGTGATCCTTTGCTCCTGATTCTCTACTGTGCCCAGCTGCGTGTTTCACATGAAGTCCCTGGACCTGCCCAGAAAAACAGTCAAACCCCATCTCTTCACAGACAGTCCCAGGGATCGGCACACAAATCCTGTCCGTGGAGACATAACAAATTTAACACGTTTGCGTGACATACCTTTGTCCTGGGCCAGCCAGGGTCTATAAGCACACGTCCAGGAGCTCATAGTTTAGTAAGACAGTTAAGTACACAGGGACAGCAGAGTGACAAGTCACTTAACCCTGTTTGCCTCAGTTTCCTCGTCTGTAAAATGAGCTCGAGAAGAAATGGCAAACCACTCCAGTAGCTTTGCCAAGAAAACCCCAAAAAGGGTCACAAAGAGTCAGATGCAATTGAAAATGACTCAACAACAACAATTAATTAACTGCCAGACACTGTTCTACCTGCTGGGGATACAAGGACAAAAACGAAACAGTCCCTGTCCTCAGAGTGCTTACATTCTACCAGGGGAGACAGTGTGTATATACAGAAATGCAGAGGCAGCTGCTGGTGTAGTGGATAGAGCTTAAATCTGGCCTTAGACATTCACTAGCTGTATGACTCTGGACAAGTCACTTAACTTGTCTGCCTCAGTTTCCTCAGCTGTAAGAATAATAAGAGATAAGGAATAACATAATATAATGTATATTATCCTTTGGAGAAGGAAGTGGCAAATGACTCCAGTATCTTTGCCAAGAAAACCCCATGGATAGCATTGACGTGCTATGGTCCACAGGGTCAGGAAGAGTCGGACACTACTGAATGACTGAAGAACAGCAATGTAATATAAGGGATAATAAGATAATAAGATAAGAGATAATGAGATAATAAGGTAACGAGGATCAAATGAGATAATATTTTAATGCACTTAGCACATAGTAAGTTCTAGAATTCCTTCCCTTCCCTGATGCCAGCCCCCTCCACAGATTCACTTCCGGGGTGACACTGCCCCTCTTTCCACAAAACCCCAGGACAGGTGGTCAGGAGGAGATGGCCCCGAGCCCTGCCTTGCCTGGCCCAGCCCCACACTTGGCCCTTCAGATCACAGAACTGCAGAATTGGAAGGAATTTCAGAGGCCACCCCACCAACCTAAGAGGCTCCCAATCAGTGGTCATTCAACCTTTGCCTGAAGAGCTCCAGAAAGGAGGAACCCACGACCTCCAGAGGCAGCCTGTTCTACTCTTAGACCAGTACAATCCTAGGAAGTCTTTCCTTACACAAACCTTGATTTTTGCCTCTCTTTAACTCCACCTGTTACCCCTTGACCTGGTCTGCGGGGCAAGGTGGAGGCACCTTGGCATCCTTTCTGTCCCTCACCCGGCTCCGGCCCTGTTGGTGTCTCTTCAGGGAAGATGTTCAAGTCTCTGGACCTGAGCCTGATTGTGGAGTTCATCCTTATGTTCTACCGGGACAAGCCGATTGACTGGCTTCTGGACCACATCCTGTGGGTGAAGGTCTGCAACCCTGAGAAGGATGCGGTGAGTAAGAGGAGCTGCAGATTGGGCACGCCCTCCCCTCTGCCAGGGGCAGGCCTACTTGGCATCAACCTCCATCCTCTTGTCTGTGGGCATGAGTTCATAACAGCTAGGATTTACATAGTGCTTTAAACTTGACAAAAGCTATCTCATTTGATTCTCACAACAATCCCTGAAAGATAGGCTCTGTTATCATCCCCATTTTACAGAGGAGTTCGTGTAGCCCAGGCTGTCCTACCTGGTGGAACACGAGGCCTGGGCTAATTAATCTCTGTAATACAGTCCCCACTGGTGCTTGCCACATGAACCTTGAGCCAAGGCATGTTAGCAAAGGGCTTGTGTTATATACGTTCTCCGGAATTCCTAAGTAATCATGGACCAGGGGCCCTGGGCAGACATGCATGGCCCAGTGCCTGGACCAGTTCCCTGCCTTTAGTAAATCAAGGGTCACGTTGGAAGGTGAAGAAGCCCGGGCTGGCATTTTCCCAGGCCTCTTTGCCATCCCAGGACCAAGGGGTGGGTCAGGTTTTCCCAAAGCCAGATTGACCTGTGGGAAACATTGGTCACCCCCAACGGTGGGGACGGTGTGTACAGAGACAGCTGGGAGGGGCAGCTGGAGGGTTATCTTAGTTCCGCTCTGGCTGGCAGTAACCTTCAGTTCTGTCCACCCACCCCATTGATCTGTTTGCCTGGTCTGTCTGTGTAACTTGCCTTCCTGTTGATCTGTCTTTTCTGTCTGTTTTTCCCATGTGTGTGTCCACCTACTCTGTCTGTCTCCTCCTCAGCCACCTCTTCTTTCCAACTGTCCCTCTCTGCCTTATCTGTCTGTCCACTTGCCCATTCCATGTGCTGTCCAGCTGCTCTGTCTGTCCACATGGCCTATTGTCCTCATCACCCACCCCTTGGTCTGTTTAACTACATATCTAGCCTACTCCCCATACTTTTCAAGGGGCAGTTTGGCTTAATGGATAGAACTGTGGACTGGGAGTCAGGAAGACCAGGGGGTTTCAGATCCTGCTTCTGACATTGACAAGCTGTGTGAGCCTAGGCAAAGACTTAGTTTTCTCATCTTAAAAATGGGGACAATAATATCTGTTAAACCTACTTCAGAGAGCTGTTGAGAGGGTCAAATGCCATATGTGTAAGGTGTTTTATAAGCTTTAAATCTCTATAGAAATGTCAGTTACTACTACTACTGCTTGCTACCACCTCCACTACCACCACCACCACCACCACCTATGTCTGCCTATTCTGTTTTTATCCAGCCCCTCCTTCCATCTCTGTCCCCCTGCCAGCCCAGCCTAGCCCATCTCTGTGTATGTGCCATCTCTCTGACTCCCTCTCCTGGCTGAGGTTAACTTTCCCTCTCTGTCTGTCCAGAAGCACTGTGATCGACAGAAGGCCAATCTTCGGATCCGCTTCAAACCCTCGCTTTTCCAGCATGTGGGCACCCACTCCTCCCTGGCTGGGAAGATCCAGAAACTCAAGGTATATCTCTGCCTTCCTTCCATGATGCCTCTTCCCTTCCACCCCTTTATTCCATCCATTTGGCCTAGAGGTAGGAAGACCCAGTGTGTGCAGGGGACAGAAAGTAGTCCAGTTTTGTCAGAACATAGAGTATGATAAGCTGAAAAGATAGGGTGGCACCGCATTGCGGGGGCCTTGAATGCCAGGTAAAGGGGGTCCTGAACTTGATTCAGTAAGCAATGGAGAGCCCCTGAAGATTTTTGAATTTGAATTGAATTATATATTTGAAAGATTAATCTGGCAGTGGGGTGAGAAGTAAATTAGAGGGGAGAGAAAGTGGGGGTGGGAAGATCTACCTCCTAAGCAGGCTATTGCAGTGGCCTGGGCAGGTGGAAAGGAAGGCCTGTTTAAGCCTGGTGGCAGAGAGGATGGAGAGGCTGACTGTGTGAACCTTCCAGATTCATAAGTCACAGGGGGACGTTTCCTTGCAGAGACTTCAGGGTTTCCCTGTGGCACAGCACTGAAGGCCAAGGGCACTTCATTGATGTGTTCATTCAACAAGCATTTACCTTGTGTCCTACCTTCTAATGTGGTCTCTTGCCCACTTTAAATGCAGGCTCCAAAGAGGAGAAAGTAGTAGAGTCAGAAGACACAGGAGATTCCATCTCTAATCCTGGATAGCTATGTGACCTTGGGCAATTGCCTTCCCCCTCTGGGTTTTAGTTTTCCTAACTATAGCATGAATAGGTGAGACTAGTTGGTCCCTGAGATTTTTCCTGGGATTCAAGAAAGAATAACATAAATAGTCCCGGGGCCAGGGCTAGGCAGGGCTGAAGCTGGCCCCCCTTCCACATCCGTGCCTTGCAGAGTCCCCCTCCTGTCCCTGCCTTTGGACCCACTGCACCTGGGACATCTTGTCTGGCAGGGGCTGTGAGCACCGCCTGGTTCTCTGTACCCTTTCCAGTCATCTTCAGTTAACTCTCATGGGAAAAGTACTAGGTCCAGGGCCTGTCCTACCCCCGGTGGAAGGAGAGGAAAGGAATGTGGACACAAGTACCCAGGAGCACTAGCTGAGCTAACAAGGTATGGTATTCAGGACAAGGAACTGAAAAGGAAAAACAGCCTTGACCTTGTATGCAAACACCCATCAGGCTAACGAAGATGGGAAACCTCATTGTGGGAAAGGCTTCGAGGAGACAGGCAGGCTCATTCTCTGCTGGTGGAACTGTGAATAGGCTTTACTGTTCTTGAAAGCAATTGGAAAACATGCAAGAAAAGCTCATACCCTTTGACCCAGAGAGTCTACTTCCAGAGCAGTACACACACCAAGGGAATTACTGACAGCAGGAAAAGACCCACGTGTGCAAACAGATCCTGGCTGCACAATTTGTGATAACAAAAAGCCCCCGAAAATGCACACAGTGATTAGAGAATGTGGATGAATAAATTTTGGAAGGTAATGAAATATTTTGTGCTATAAAGAAAAATGAAAATAAAGCATTCAGAGAAACTGAGAAAGACTGGTATGAAGTCATGCACATACATGAAGAAAGGATATGCACTGTGATATTGTAAATAAATGAAGTTGATGTGGAGAGGCAGCAAACCTTGGATACAGTGGTCAGTGTCAGGAAAGCACTCAGTTAAAGGACCCCTCCCTCCTTTGTGTTAATAATTGATACACTGACTTTTCTGGGTAATGTTCAGGTGTTTGTTGGGAAGTGTGTGTTGTGTCAACAAACTGTATTGGTAATTTTTTTTAAGCAAAGAAAGGGACTGAGGTTGGCTTGCCTGTCTGTCCCTCAAGACTGCCCAGAGGATGGCCATCCAGACCCTCTGGCTGGGAATTCTTTCAAGAGGGGGTTCATCGATCTCATCCACACCCCTTTCCCCAGTCTTTCTCAAGAAGGGAAATGAGAGTGACTGAGTCTGCTTCTGGCATTACATTGGCTTACAGTGAGGAAAAAATACCCATTGCCCTCAACCCCAGACTTTCTATGTAGCTGCCGCAAGTTTGCTGACATATGGGATGGAACCTCTTAAGAACAGTGGGAGTAGGTGTAGTGGTCTTGGGGTGGAGGCGGCGGTGTCTAAGTCTGGGTGACCATTTCTCCTCTCGTTTCTGGTTTAGTCACTCACATGGGTTTCACGATTGGTCATGAATGTTAGCACGTCATCCTTGAAATTCATCCAGTCCTGAGGATGTCAAACTCAGATAGAAATGGATCCCCGCTGGCCACATGTTGACTTAGAAAACCACAAATTAACATTACCTATATCATATTATATTTTTATGTATTTTGTTAAACATTTCTCAATTGCTTTTTAATCTGGTTGGGGCAACACTTTGAGGGCTGTGAGTTTGATGCCTCTGAATTCTAATTCACCTCATTCCTGAGCAAAGAATCCCACTACAACCTCCTGCCAAAGGGCCATCCAGCTTCCATTTGAAGATCACTGTTGATGGGGAACTCATTACCTCCCATGGGCATGAATTCCATTTTGGGACAGTACTAGTCATTGGGCCTTTTTTATTCATTATTGAAGTGAAAATTGACTTTGTAGCTTCTTACCAATGGTACTTTTTTTTTCCCCAGTGGTATTTTTTGTGCCTTTTGGAACCAGACCGAACAAGTCTGTGACAGCCCTTCAAATACTGAAAAGCTATCCTCTTTTCCTGCTAAAGTCTTCTCTTTTCCAAGCTAAAGATCCTCATTTTCTTCACCTGATTCTTGTATAGTACGGTCTCTAGTCCACTCAGCATCCTAGTCCTCCTCTCCCCTCGGATGTAGTCCACTGTGTCAGGGTCCTTAAGATGTGGCCCCTGGAACTGAATACGATAGTCGAGAACAACAGGACTACTCCCTTTCCTCATCCTAGACACTCATGGTGTTCCTGGGACCGTCAGAAGTCCTCAGCAATTGTTAGCAGCTTTTGTAAATCATGTGGTGGTGTCACTGTAGAACTGAGGTCAAGATGAGGGGCAGGATGGATAACACAGGGGCCTGGTAGGGTCTTAGGGTGCCATGGTTGGGTAGCATAGCAAGTAGGAGAGTGTGGGCACTACCAGGAATTCTGGCTTGTCAGTCCTGGGGATGGAGTCTACTGGCAATGAAAGTCAAACAGGACCAAGAAAAGAGCCCCAGACTTGGTCCCTGTGGCTAGGTTTTCTTTACTTTGCAATGGGTTCTGCTTCTGGACCGTTTGGTCACTCAGAATATTGTCCTTCAGCTGGTAGCGCCAGACTTCAGGGCCACTTGGATGGGTAGCAGCTCCATTCCCCAGGAGAGGTAGAGGACTTCATCAACAATGAGCTTAGAGGAACACTGAGGCCTGAGGACCTTTGTTGACCTTCCCTCACCAAGACTATGCATTTACAACAAAGGGTCATTTGGGCCCCAGGCAGCGCCGGATTTGGGCAGTCATAGTTTAGACCCTGTCAAAGGTCTGTTGGACTTCCAGAATCCAACGGGAAGAGCCAGAAATGGAAGTGGGAGATGGAGGTTTCGTGGTCAAGGAACTACAAGTAGGCTAGCATTGCTGGGTCACAGGATGTCAGGAGAGACATTTAGCTGCAGAAGGGAAAGGAGATAGGAGACAATAGCTAATGGGGAAGGTCATGTCAAGTGAGGGTTTTTTAAGGATGGAAGAGACATGGGTGTGTTTGTAGGCAGCATAGAAAGAGCCAATAGACAGGGAGAGATTGAAAATGAGAGAGAGAGAGGGGATGCTAGTATGAGCAAACTAACTACTGGAAAAGTCAGGAGGCAGTGGGATCAGGGGTACACCTAGAGGGGTTGGGCCTTGGTAAAGACAGGGGCCATCTCTTCATCTGAGAGCAGAGTGAAGAAGGGATCACGGTAAGTGACAGGAGATGCAGCACTGACCTTTGTGCATTCATCTGGTTGCCGTGGGAGAAAAGGACTGCCCAACAATTACACTCATGGGAAATCTGAGGTCCATCATTCCACCTGAGATGGAACCGGTGCTCATGATCGGTGCTGGATGTGCGAGTTAGCCAGGCAGTCTCTGGGGACAGGAGGTGTCAGGTCCCGGGATCACACAGATTTAGAGCTGAAAAGTCAGCTAGTCTGACCATCTCAGGAAACTGAGGCCCCAAGAAGTGAATGACTCTTTTGTGGTCGCAATGCAAGTGAGTGAGAGGCAGAATTCCGGCGTCGGTGCTCTTCCCACGATGCTAAGCGGCTGCTCCTGGGAATGATCAAGATGGACACATAAGGAACCCCTCCTCTCTTTTGCCCCTGAGGTGCGTACGGGGGTTTATGACCTTTCAGAAATCTGAAGCCTGAATGTAGAGTGAGAGAATCTGGGTTTAAATCTTGATTCAGCTGCTGACTACCTTGGGCAAGTCATTCATCTCTCTGTGCCTTCGTTTCCCCACCAGTAAAATGGTAGGCCTGGACTAAATAGCTTCTAAGGTTCCTTCTGCTCTTAACTATGATCCTGCAACGTTGTCATCGTCATAACGACCAGCACTTATATAGCGCTTTAAGGTTTGCAAAAAGCCAAAACCTCATTTCATCCTCACAACAACTTTATTATTATTATCTCCATTTTAGAAATGAGGAAACTTAGGCACACCAGCTAAACGACTTGTTCAGGGTCACTCAGCTAATAAGGCTCTGAGGCAGGATTTGAACGCATGACTTCTTGACTCTGTGTCCAGTACTTTATTCACTACACCATCTAGCTGCTTTTGGTCAGAGATACATTCTGTATTTTTGAGAGCATCAGTACTCAATAATGGGTATAAAGCAGTGGTCCCCTGTCCAGAGCCCTCACAAGGGAGACAGATGAATAAAACCTCATTTTGGGTCTTTTGCATGAATTCTTGGGCCCAGCAGCAGCCTGGGATTGAATGTGCTGTTGCCTGGTCAGAATGGCAGCTTGGTATCTGTTCATCTGCACCGAATTGCAAGTCCTGACGTTTCCCTGGTAGGAGCAAGAGCTGCGCCACACTGAAGGGGACAGCCAGGGGTAGGTGAACAGCGAGGTGCTACTAGCCCAGGAGTGAGCGCGCAGTTTCAGGTGAGAACGGCCCCCCGGGTATCAGCAGGACCACGGCCAGCTGAGCCGGGGTGTGAGTCAGCGCCCAAGCTCCTGAGATCGGCTCTTGCCAGAACGACGTGGCCCTGGCCTCCCTCCATCGAGCCTCTCCCATCTGTAATCCGCCCTCTGCACAGGGCCATATTGATATTCCCAAAGCTCCAGTGTGACCGTGTCGCTTCTTATTCTGGAAGTTCTCTTCATTACAGCTAGGGTACTTTTCTCAGGCATTCAAAGCCTTCGCAGTCTAGGTTCAGCCCCTCTCCTCAGACTGATGCTACATGCTTCTTCCTCAGAGTGCGGCTCAAGCCAGACGGGCCTTCTTGACGTTCTCCGTACAGAAGATCCCATCTCTCCTGTCCACACTTTTGCACAGGCCATTCCCCATACTCAGGGCACCCATCTCTCTTTAATTTCTTGGAACCTCTAGCCTCAAGCTTTATACCGTCTGCGGCTCCATTTGTATTCTCCCTCCTCTCCCTTCCCAAAAAGGCATCTTTAATAACAAAGAATTTAAATTAAAAAATGAGAGAGGGGCAGCTAGGTGGTGCAGTGGATAGAGCACCAGCCCTGGAGTCAGGAGGGCCTGAGTTCAAATCCGGCCTCAGACATTTGGCTGTGTGACCCTGGGCAAGTCACTTAACCCCAATTGCCTCCCCAAAAAAGGAGGAAAAATCCAGTCAAACCAATCAGAACATAAAAAAAAAATGTAACCCTCAGTATTCCACACCTCTGCAAAGAAACCTGGGAATGGGCAGACATCTCTCAGGAGGCTTTTCCTGATTCCCTCCTCTGCCACATGATCATTTTGTAACTACCCTGTTGTTTTTCTCATCTGTACATATAATGGTAAGCTCCTTGAGGGCAAGAGGAAGGTCTTACTTTTGCCTCTGTCTCCTTAGAATCTAGTGCAGTGCCTAGCACAGAGTGGATGATGGATAAATGCTTGTTGATTGGATGGACTAAAGGATCCTTTGAGGTCATCCCTGAGCTTTCAGGACCAGCCTCTTGGGTAGGGGCTGTGACTGTATCAGAGCTTCTGAGGGAGAAGGGTCAGCGGTTTCCGAGAGGTGTCCACTTAGTATGAGGGAGGCCCCAGCCTCTCCAGACACTTCACGGACGCTGTTAGGCCAGAGTGGTGGAGATGGCCGGGGTGGCCGGGCCCAGAGAGATGAGCCCTAACCCCCTGCCACCCCGGCCCCAGGGAGGTCCTTCTGTGCTGAGGCTTTTTGCTAGTTGTAAGTCTGGCATGACTCTCATTCCCTGCGTGCCTCCCTCCCCCGATGCTTGTGCTTGTGTCCAGGACAAGGATTTTGGCAAACATGCCCTGAGAAAGGAACACATGAACCCCCCTGCTGAGGTCAGCACTAGCCTCAAGACGTACCAGCATTTCACCTTGGAGAAGGCCTATCTGCGAGAAGACTTCTTCTGGGCCTTCACGCCCATAGCTGGAGACTTCATCCGCTTCAGATTCTTCCAGCCACTGCGCCTCGAGCGGTCAGTGCTCCCTACCCACCCGACCTAGGGGGAGGGACTTATCACCATCATCTCCAGTCGCATTTACTGGGCCTCTGTCCCCACCAGGAACCAAACCCTGGACTCTGTCATAATGAGACTGGCCTGGGAGCTGGGAGAGAGAGGCTTTCCCCTGTCTCTCCTCTCTGTCTCTCTTTGCGCCTCTTTCTGTCTTTTTGTGTGTACCTCCGTCTCTCCATCTGTCTCCTTTTCTCTGTCTCTCTGTCTCTCCATCTCTCTGTGTGTGCCTTTGGCTTTACAAACAACGTGAGTCTCTGTCAAACAGGTTTTTCTTCCGAAGTGGAAACATTGAGCACCCACAGGACAAGCTGTTCAACACCACGGTGGAGGTGCTGCCCTTCGACGTGAGTAGCTTGGCCCCGAAGGCAGGTGGGAGGGGTTGCTCGATAATGGACCCAAAGAACATTCACTTCCTTTTGCCCCTGCCTGTCTCCCCGGCCCATCCGTGATGACCAGCTGCTCTGGCCCTTTGTCCCCTAGAACCCACAGTCGGACAAGGAGGCCCTGCAGGAGGGCCGAGGGGCCGCACTCAGGTATCCCAGGACCCCAGATGGCTACCTCCAGATTGGTGAGTAGGTCCAAGCCAGGAAGTTGAGCATGGGGGCAAAAACTCAAGGATAGCGAGCACCCCGTCTGTTTCACTTAGACAGCAGTGGATGGAGCACTGGACCTGAATAAGAAGGACCTGAATTCAAATCCAGCCTCAGATATTTACTAGCTGTGTGACCCTGGGCAAGCCACTTCACTGCTGTCTGCCTCAGTTTCCTCATCTGTAAAATGGGAAGAATAATAGCACACTCTACCCCTCCACCAGGGTTGTGAGGATCAGATGAGATATTTGTAAAGTGCTTTGCTGACTTCACATTATTATATACATGCTCACTATTATTATCCATTTTATTGTGGGGAAGGGCTAGATGTCCGCCTTTTGGGGCCAGGTTCTCTCTGCTCACTGCCCTCAGCTGGGCCCCTTTTGACTGGGTAGGGTTGGGGGGGGTCTTAGGATATCTATGAGGTGCCTCTCCATCCCTCCAGGTTCCTTCTCCAAGGGTGTGGCTGAGGGTGAAGTAGACCCAGCCTTTGGGCCCCTGGAAGCTGTGCGGTTGTCAATACAGACTGACTCCCCAGTGTGGGTCATCCTGAGTGAGGTAAGAGGGCCTTGAAGGCACTCCCTCTCATTCTGTTCTACAAGTTGTGGGGCTTTGGGAGGTGAGGGTCCCATCTGACATCACCGAGTCTGAAGAGTTTGTATCCTTCTGAGGTACCACCCCTGACCCTTACCTGCTCTGTTTTTTCAGATTTTCCTGAAAAAGGCTGACTAAGCATTGAAGGGTGAAGGGAGCGGAGTTTTCAGGCTGCTAAGCCCCATCCCGCCCCAGTGTCTCCCCCATCATCCTGTGGGGAGCCTGTGCCCTTGCTCCAGAGCCCAGCAGGGTACAAGATCTGGAGGTGACAGGACCAAAGACAGCCCTGGGGGCAAAGGGGGGGACTAGGGTGGTCTCTAGGGGGCCACCTTTCCTCCAAAGCCTACAGTAAAGTGGAACTGAGGGCCCCAAGGCACACATGGGGCTGGTGGGAGTGAGGGCTCCTGGAGGAGAAGACAAACCCCATGGCCCTGAGGCCATCTTTGGCCTTTACTCCACATTCCCCACTCTGCCCACCAGCCTGATGTGGGCAGGCCCCACAGGGGTCTCCAGTCCTAGGGAGCTGGTGCTATCTCCTTGGGCTGGGCTGGGCTGGGCTGGGCCTGGCTGGGCCAGACAGATGGGGCCCTGGGGCAGCTGAGGATACCTGCCCTTCATCCCTTCTTCACGATGGGGCCAAGGAGCTGGGGGTCAGGGTGCCTGGGCCCCCCTGGCCGGGCATGATGAGGGCCAGGGATCCCAGGGGACACGCCTTTCCTAAGGTGCTGCCCAGCCCTGGCCCTTGGCTGTGCGCTGGTGGAACTGGGGGCCTCTCTGGGCTTAGGCGGCCGTACACTGGAATGCATCATACTACTCTAATGTGCTGTGTTTTTTTATTATTGGATACATTTGATTTTTTCACGTATGTCGATATATAATTATATAAAGCGTGAATTGTAATAAAAGTTTAATTCCGTTTCAAACCTTGGGGGGAGTCTGCATCACACCCCCCTCTCTAGGGACCCCAGGTCTTTGTATTTCTCCACGGTGCCAGAGCCCCCTTAGCCTATACCTTCTGTTCCCTTCATGGGGTCCCACCCCACTTCCTACCCCATCACAACCAGCCACTGCAGCCTCCTCAGGAGGGGCGTCTTCAGGGAGGCTGGAAGAAAGTGGAAGGCCAGGCCCAATGCAGACAGAGCTACCAGCAGCCAGAGGACCCGGGCACCGAAGTAGAGGGGGCCCAGTCTGTGGAGGTTGAGGGGGTGAAGATCAACAAGAGAATGTACCCCTCCAGCCCTGCCTTCTCCCCCCACCCCACCCCAAGTTCTTGCTCACCTCCCCTGGGCCGACACAGCATAGCCATGGAAGTATCTGTAACGGGCACCCAAGTAGAGTAGGCCACAGGCAGCTGCTACACCTTTTCCAGAGAAAGAGTAACAGCTTTTGAGGCCCCTGGAAGACGGGGGGGGGGGGGGGGAGGCACACAGTGGCATGCCTCTGTGCATGAATCCTCATGCATAAAGCTGTGGGGTAGCCAGCAGCATCCTCTCGGGATCTGTGGCACACACACTGGAGGGCCTGGTGACAAGGAATGCCTTCTGTGGCATGAGCACTGGCATGGGGGGAGGGCTTGGCTCTCAGTCTACACCCGGTGCCCCAGGTCCTGATACCTTGATGGAAGAAGATGCCAGCGACCCAGAGGACGGCCAGGAACAGTGGGAAGTACTCTGTGCAGTTTGCCCTGTAGTGGGAGGTTGGGGGAATGGGGAAAGAAGGAAGATGAAGAGAGGCAGAGCTGAGCTCTCCTTTCACCTCCCACCGAAGACCCCCTCTCCCCACCCTAGGTCTCTGCTGCGGAAGTGAAGGGGACTCAGGAAGGAGCTGTCACTCCTTGCAAAGGGGAAGCTGGGAGGATGGAAACAGACTCTCAGGGTATTAGAGGCACGAATTCTGGGCCAAGAGGCATGGGGGCATTGTTTTACCCTGGTTTGCCAATTTCTACCGTTGGTGGCCTTTCTCTTGGGGCTGAGAAGTAGGGGTGGGGAAGGGTCAACTCCAAGGCTTCCTCCTACACCCTGAGCAGGGAGGGACGAGTGTGTCAGGACAGGGTGTCTAGACATTAAAAGGGGTAGGGCCGGGGACAGTGGCATAGATAGCTCTATGACACATGTTCCTTCAGACCTTGAAGGCCAGGCACACAGAGTTCCCAGGACAGGATGAGCCAGGGACTTGGAATGATTCTTGGACATCTTCCCTGTTCCTATCCAAGGCCCTGGGCGCACATCTCAGGTCCTTACTGAGCTCGGAAGACCCTCTCAAACTCTGGGGGCCCAGTGGTGGCTGGGGGTGCAACCCTGAATCTCCTCCTCGCTGTGATCACTTGCCAGGAGAAGTAGGCTGAGGAGGAGAGGAAGAGAATTGATCAGTTTTCCCTGCCTCGCCGGGCCTGACAGAGCCCTTGGCGTCATCACCAATACTTAGTGCAGTGAAGAAGGGAACTATGACTCTAGGCCTTTCTCTACTAGAGATGTCATTTAACTTCTCCTTGTGAAATGGGTTATACAGGACTTGTGCTTTCTCAAGAAAAGCTTACAGAGTGATACAGAAATGGGGGCTGTTCTTTATGAATTCAATCAGATGCTCCCTTGGAGTGAGGTCACCTCTCCCATCCCCCCGCCTCCAGGCTGACATGGAGAACTTCCTAAAATGAGTGACTCTCCCTGAGGATCTCTAAGCACCCACCTGACCACACACACACACACACACACACACACACACACACACACACACACACACACACACACGCACATCGTACAGGTCAGCCCAGGAGTCTTTGGACTTTGTTGTCTTTCATTTGGTTTGCAAAATTTAGTCAAATCCTGGAGGAGTACTTGCTGAGGCTGGGGCACCTGAAACATGCCGCTTTTGGAGATGTATCTACAATCTGGATTTCAGTCTGGGGCTGGAGAGGGGATTCCTGATTCCCTCCACTGTAAGGAGTCCCACTAGAAGCCATCTGAGGTCGCTCCTTGCTCTGGAATTCCTTGCAAAATTGAAGGTTCATCTCCTTTGGGTGCATTTAGAAACATCCTCACTAATCACTAATGGCATAGGAGATAGAGGGCTGGACTGAATCAGGAATATCTGGGTTCAAATCCTGCCTCTGACACAGTGGTAAGTCACCTAAGGTCTCAAGAAAATCGCAGAAGAGTGGCCCATCTGAGTTGGTGGTTTCCTCACCAGGAATTCCCTCTAACAATGAAATCAGGTCTCTGGACCAGCTGCCCTTTCCCCCACCCCCAAGAAAACAAAAAATAAAGCCAGCCCAAGCCCCAGGGGCAGAGATGTCTGCCATCCTGCCCCAACACTATTCTGGGGACCATCCTTCCTTTGCTGCTCCCCTGCCCCCCATGGCCCCAGACTTGGAGGTTCCGAATGGGGGCTTCATATCTAAAAGGGGAACTGAATCAGACTAAAGTCTCCATGTGTCTCTGTCCAGATAGCTCCACACCCCCTAACCCCATCCCAAGTCATCTGGCTGCAGCCTCATCCCCAACCCTTCCCAAAGACTGGAACCCTCCTCTCCTGCTAGGCTTCTGGGGGGCTCCCCTCACCATGATGGTCCTGAGGTCTGGGGGCATCAGCTTGCTACAGCAGAAACCTCCCTGGACTCCCAGGAAGCTGAGCTGTACCTTAGGGCAGGGCGTGGGTCTGAGCCTTACCTTGTAGTAGGACTCCAAAGAGGGTGACCGCCGCTAGCATGGCCACCTCCTCACGTACCCCATGCATGATGCCTGATGACTGCAGCGGGGGAGGCCAGTGCTTTGCTATCCCCTTGGCAGCCGGCTCTTAAGGGCCAGTGGGGCTCCACCCACTGCCTCTGCTCTCCACCCCCAGCATCCATTTCATCATGGAACTAACCACTCCGGTCCCTTCCTCCCCCTCCTATCTCCCTTAGAGGAACCCCCCTTCCCCGCCTCTCTGCTGGGGAGCCCGTCCTGGCAGAGAGATTTGAGGGAGCACAGATGTTGGGATTCAGTTCCAGCTCCACACCCTCCCACTCACAGCCTGGCTCCGACTCCAAGCAGAGGGCTCTCAGAGGATGCACTTTACAGAGACTTTATTGGATTGAGCCCTGTCTCAGCCCACACGCCGGGCCATTCCCCTCCCCATCCTCAGACTATGATTGCCCCTCCCAGAGCTTCCTAGCCCTCCAACTTTTACCTCTGCCTGGACACTGCCTCTAGGTGACAGACCCCAAACAGACAAGGCCCAAGACTTTTTTGAAGGAGCCGCCTAACAGCAAATCAAGAAGATCCAAGTTCCCATCAGGGAGAGGGGGAATCCTTCACTACAGATAAGAAAGCTACTAAACCAGGGAAGAGAGCAGTGCAGTACCCCATTCCCTCATCCCACACTCAGCCCTGGAAGACCTGCCTCCTTCTAGAAGGCTTCTGGGATGAACAGTCGGTCAAACTCCTTGGGGCAGGGGGCTGTCGATCAGCCCATCAGCAAACAGTTGTTAAGAACCTAAGTGCCAGGCACTGTGTTACATGCTGGGGCCAGGTATGCAGTGAACAAATACCAAAAGTGCTCAATTATCCCTTATCTTTTTTTTTTTTCAGTTCAATTTTATTTTATTTTCAGATCGATACTTTCTCCCTTCCACTTTCCCTTTTTCCCATTAGGAAAGCAAGAACGACAAAAACCTTTACAAGCATGCAAAACAAAACAAAAAAAAGCAAGCAAAATAAATTCCCACATTTGCCACGCCCAAAAAAACTGCGTTTTATTTTGCTCTCTTCAGTCTTTCAGCTCTCTAACAGGAGACAGGCAGCATGCTGTGGCTGGTCAGACTTCTGAAGTCTCAAAGTTGCTCATCGTTCCAGCGTTGTTGTCATTAGATAAATCGTTCTCCTGGTCTGCTCTGCACTGATTTATACACATCTAAGGTTTCTCTGAAGCCATCTCCTTCACCATGCATGTCTCATAGCACAATAGTACACCCTCACACATAACTTGTTCCGCCATACCCCAGTTGATGGGGTGCTTCTCTAAAACATGTTCTCTTTCTTAGATCTCTTTGGGAGTCTGGGCCTGGAGGGTGGCTGTCCTTAGTGCTCGAAGAAGACTCAAATGATGTCACTGTGTTGGGGTCAAGGTACAGTGTGCATCCGTCCGACTGTGGATATGAGACCGATATGAGCTTGGAAGGCTCTGCCACAGGTCAAGCACAAATAGTCCATGTGAACATTTGGAGGGGAAATGGCTCTATATTTGCACATCTCACGCTTCTTTCGAGCTACTGCAGGCCTTGCGGGGTGGTCCTGTGCCAGTGTCTCCCATGTCACACAAGTGATTCCAAAGCTCTTTAGAGAGACCTTTGAGAGTGTCCTCATGTCACTTCTGACCTCCGTGTGAGGCTTGCCTTGTGCGAATAAAATAGTCTTTTAGCAAATGCATGCTTGGCATTTGAAAGATGTGGCCAGCCCATGGGAGGTGCCCTCCCTGCAGTACAATTTGAGAAAGGACCTCAGTGTCCAGCACCTTATCTTGCCAGGTGATCTTCAGAATCTTCCTAAGACAAGTCAAACAGAAATGATTCATCAAGGTCAGCTACTGCACTGACGGTAAACTATTTAACTTGGAAAGGCTACAGGGCCAGACTAAACGGGCCTGGTGGTGGTATTTCTGTGGCTCCGAGGGTAGGCCCAGTTCAATAGTCTGGGGGCCTCGTTGGGTTTGCTTTCCAGAATGTAGCACTAATTTTTGAAGCCAGAGTACTCTTTAACTGGTTCTAGTATATTAAATGTATATTAAAAGTATATTGAGCATATAAAATGATGATAGCTTGAATGTGTCTGTTGCCTTACATTTTTACCAACACCTTTGTCTGTGCCCTTTGATTCTCACCACAGCTGTGGTGTAGACAGTGCAAGTGGTATTATCCTCATTTTTCAAATTGGGCACCTGAAGCCAGGAGAGGTAAAGTAGAAGCTAGCATAGAGTCTATCTGTCCCTTCAGCCCAGGGCTCTGACTCCCAAGTCCAGGGTCTATCTGTTACCCACTTTTACTACCCTTGCTCTGGAGATGGGGCACACTTACTAATGGGGTATCTTTTATTTTAAGTGACTTGCCCAGGGTCGCACAGCTCGTGTCCAGTGTCTGAGGCTGGATTTGAATTCAGGTCCTCCTGACTCCAGGTCTAGCTGCCCCTAATTATTCCTTATCTTTAAAAAGATTGATAAACTTAATTTTAAACACCCCTGCCCAGCAAGGACATCCCTTCCATTATTATTATTATTTTTTTTTTTTATTATTTTTATTTTTTTAGTCAATTGAGATTAAGTGACTTGTCCAGGGTCACACAGCTAAGAAATGTCAAGTGTTTGGTCTGAGGCTGGATTTGAACTCAGGTCCTCCTGACTTCAGGGCTGGTGCTGTATCCACTGTGCCACCTAGCTGCCCCCTTCCATTATTATTTATCTGCCACCCACTATTAGTAGTATGACTAGCAAGCTCCCACCACCTGTTTCTCTTCTTTCCTCTGTTTTATTTAATCACTGGCCACCGTGCCCTCTGTCTGTATGTAAACCTCCCTTCATTCCTTTGTCCTGGAATTCTCTCTCACAGTATCTCCTTCTACTAGTCATGAGATCTGGCTTCTCCAGATAACTGCCTACCTGGCCATCTTCTTCCGCACTGGCAATGCCTTCTCTCCTCCCCGAACCCTCCACACTGCTGGAGAGGGAGTTAGATGACACCTTGCTCCCCATGGCCACCTTCAGGCTGCCCCTTCACTGCCCTTACTCAGCAGTCCTCTGAAATACAAAAAAGTCATATTTTCCCCTCAATCCATATCATGGGGGCTGGCCCCCTTCCCCTCCTTTTCCCAAAGGGTTCAGTACCTGGTTCACAGTCTCCCTCTCCTTTTTTTTTTTCAGAGACAGTTGAAGCTGCTTTTTTTAATTGTTTTTTTTTGGGGGGGGGTTAGGCAGTTGGGGTTAAGTGACTTGCCCAGGGTCACACAGCTACTAAGTGTCAAGTGTTTGGTCTGAGGCTGGATTTGAACTCAGGTCCTCCTGACTTCAAGGCCGGTGCTCTATCCACTGCGCCGCCTAGCTGTCCCTGCTTTTTTAAAATAATATTTTTATTTTTTTAAGTTTTTAAGTTTATTTTAAACTTAAATACAAAATAAGAAAACAAACAAACAAAAAAACCCAAACATTGCAGCGTACAAAGCAGAATACTAGAGGATTCAATATAAAACAAATTTCCATGTCAGGGAAGACTATGTAAGCAGCTCTTACTGTGGTGGCAAAGAATTGGAAATTGAGAGGATGCCCATCAATTGGGGAATGGCTGAGCAAGTCGTGGTTTATGAATGTGATGGAATACTATTGTGCTATAAGAAATGATGAACAGGCTGACTTCAGAAAAACCTGGCAAGACTTGTATGGTCTGATGCTGAGTGAAGTGAGCAGAACCAAGAGAACATTGCACACGATAACAGCCACGTTGTGCGATGACGAATATTGATAAACTTAACTCTTCTCAGCAATTTAAGGATCTAAGACATCTCCAAAGGCCTTGTGATGGAAAATGCTATCCACATGCAAAGAAAGAACTATGGAGTTTGAATGCAGATCGAAGCATACTACTTGCTATTTTTTTCCTCTTCTGTTGTTTTGTTTCCTCTTTCTGGTGGTTCCTCCTATTGGTTCTAATGTTTACTTACAACATCACTAATCTGAAAATATGTTTAATAAGAGTATAAAACAAGACTATATAATAAATACTACAAATTTATTTCAAAGCTGTCCAGATTTTCTTTGCTTCCTTGTAGGTGTTCTTTTGTTTTCTGCTGTGCACTTTTTACTTTATTTTTTCCCCCTCCCTCCCCCCACTCCTCCCAAAGAACGCCACAATTAAGCACGGTATAAAACCCCCCACATATATACATATACATACATATCTATAAACTTACACATATATACATATACACACTCATACTCATATATGTAAGACCACACTATGCTTATTTCCACTTGTTATCTGCTTCTCTGAAGGTGGACAGCATCTTCCTTCATAAATCCATGTTTTTCAAATCAATTAGTTCATCATTTCCTAGAGCACAGCAAGATTCCAGCCCAATCACATTCTGTCTGAGAGATTGTCTATAAAAGTGTTCCCCAAATTTTCTGCAATCCTTCTGTTCTTGGCTGCATAGGTTTTATTTATGCAAGAACATTTTAATTTAAAATAATCAAAATTATCTGCTTTACACTTCAATGATGCTCTCACTTTACAATATAATTTAAGGTCTGATACTGCTGAATCTGCTTCCATTACCTCTTTTTTCTCCCTGGTTTCTTTGAAGTTCCTGACCTTTTGTTCTTCCAAATGCACTTTGTTATTATTTTTTCTAAGTCTGTAGGATGATTTTTTAATAATTTAATTGGGATGGCATTACATAAACAGATTAGTTAGGTAAAATTGTCATTTTTAAATTATATTGGCTTTATCTACCCATGAACAATAAATGTTACTTCAATTATTTGGATCTACTTTATTTGTATAATAAGTGTTTTATGTTTATGTTTGTATAGTTTCTGTGTCTGTCTTGGCACGTATGCTCTCAAGTGTTTTATACTGTCTAGTTATTTTAAATGGTCTAAAACAATATCAAATAATATGGTAGACACATAGTATAGTTTCCTATTTTCCTCTTTTGATTAAATCTATTTTAGCTTTAACTGTGTCTGAGATCATGATTATTACCCCTGCTTTTTTTGCATGATAAAATCTACTCCTGACCTTTATTTTATGTTTATGTGTATCTCTCATTTTTATAGCCTTTCCTGAAAGCAACATATTATTGAATTCAGATTTTTAATCTGCTATCAGTTTCCATTTTATGGGTAAATTCATC